CAATCTGTTAATTTTTTAAAATACTTCTTCTCTAAGTTACAACTTTAATATATAACTTCGGAGGAATCGCTTTGTATCCATCAAACAACTTCCTTCAAAAAGCATACCATGCCCTTAAAAAAGCATCTGCAGGAAAAAACTGGTCCCTAACCCTAGATTCAAGTTTGGGTTTTTGATTCTCATGCCAATTTTTCATTGAAACAGAGTCTTTATGAAAAATATTAAGAGCATTTGGTGCAAGGTAAAGAATATGCTCTATGGGTCAGCAGTCAGCGCTGTATCAGTTTGTGTAACTGCTGTGGACTAAAAAATATGTCCCCCCAAAGTTAATATGTTGACAACCTAACCCCAATGTGACTGTATTTGGATATAGCGTTTTCGGGAGGTAATGAAGGCTAAAGAGGTTGTAAGCGTGGGTTTGTAATCTGATAGATTAGAGACTGACGGCCTTGTGAGATGTGGAAGCCTTCTCTCTCCACACACATACACACACGGAGGAAAGGTGATGTGGGCACACAGAGATGGTGGCCTCGGCAAGCCAGGAAGCGAGCCCTCACCAGGAACCCAGTCCTCCAAAGCCTTGATCTTGGACTTCCCAGCTTCCAAAATGTGAAAAAATAAATTTCTGCTGCTTAAGCCACCCAATCTGTGGTATTTTGTTATGGCAGCCCAAGAAGACCGATACGGTAATCTCAAGCAAGTTACTGATTAGTGTTTCCAAAGCATTAGTGTAAAATTTGTGGTCAGGCAAAATAAATGCTAAATTCTCTTCTAGCTCTTAGCTATAGTATGATTCTAATTGAAATTGTCTTGGCTCAAGAAGACCACCAAACATTTTTTACTTATTTATTTTATTTTAAAAACAAATCTGAGGTTTATTTTTTTTTCTTTTTTCTTTTTTTTTTAAAACAGGGTCTCACTGTGTCACCCAGGTTGGAGTGCATGGTGTGATCACATGATCACAGCTCATTGTAGCCTCACCCTCCCAGGCTCAAGTGATTCTCCTGCCTCACCCATTAAAGTCAAGTAGCTAGGACCACAGGTGTGTACCACCACACCCAACTAATTTTTTAAATTTTTTTTGTTTTTGTTTTGTTTTTACGACAGAGTCTCTCTCTGTCGCCCAGGCTGGAATGCAGTGGCATGATCTCAGCTCACTGTAACCTCTGCTTCCTGGAATCAGGCAATTCTTTTGCCTCAGCCTCCTAAGTAGCTGGGATTACAGGCCCGGCGCCACCATGCCTGCCTAATTTTTGTATTTTTAGTAGAGATGGGGTTTCACTATGTTGGCCACGCTGGTCTTGAACTCCTGACCTCAAGTGATCCACCTGCCTTGGCCTCCCACAGTGCTGGGATTACAGGTGTAAGCCACGGCACCAGGTCGCGCCGGCGCCCAAGGACCCCGCAGATTGTGGTTGTTTTGTGTGTCGTAGAGACAGAGTTGTTGCCCAGGCTGGCCTCAAACTCCTTGGCTCAAACGATCCTCCAGTCTCGGCCTCCCAAAATGTTAGGATTATAGGTGTGAGTCACCGTGCTTGGTCTGAGTTTCAAATTTTTAGAAAAGTTATAAAATGATACAGAAGAGTTCCATATACCTTTTACTCAGATACACCAAATTTTAACATTTGTTTCTATTTTTTATATTCTCTTTATATATACACATGCGTGTGTGTGTATGTTTACATATATAATCATATATATGCATACTATTATTTATTTTCAGAATCTATTTGAGAGTGGATTGTCTCTCATCCCTTAATAGTTCAGTATGTACTTCCTGAAACAAGGATATTTCTTACCTAACTATGGTTGCCAAATTCAGGAAATTTCGCATTGATAAAACACTCTCGTCTAATCTGCAGCTCATGTTCCAATTTCATTAGTTGTCCCAATAACACCCTTTAAAGCATTTCCTCCTCCAGAATAGGAACCAGTCTGGGATTACACATTGCATTGAGTTGTGGTGTTTCTTTCACCTCCTTGCCTATGGAACAGTTTCTCAGCTTTTCTTTGCTTTCGTGAGTTAACAGTTTTGAATAATACAGGACATTTATTCACTAGGATGACCTTTACTGGGGGTTTGTATAATGCTGCTCCATGATTAAACTTAGGTCTGCTTCCCTGCCTGGAACACTGTGTGTTTTGTGTCTTTTACAGGGCATCACGATAGAAGGCACGTGATAACCGAATGTTCTACATTGGTGATGCTAATTTTGATGACCGGATCATGGCATTGTCCGTTTTCTCCACTGTGCAGTTTCAGCAATCTGTGGAGAAGAACTTTGAGGCCATGCAATGATCCTGTTCCTTGTTTAATTGTCCCTCCTTAGACTTAACATCTGTTGATGATTCTTGACTGAATCAACCTTTACTATGATGTTTGGAAAATGGTGATGTCCAGTGCTACCACTACCTCCAAATTTGTCAGTCTGCACAATTCATTCAGCTGTGAGTCCTCAATTCCTCCCCTGCATCCACCACACACAATTATTGTACTAAAGGACTTTTATTTTATTCAAAGGGTAAATAATTCATTAATATTCTTATTTATTTTGATGCTCAGATTGTCCCAGTGTTGGCCAGTAGGAGCCCCTTCAAACTGGTTCCTAGGTCCTTTTGACATACCCCCATCATTTTAAAAATACTTTTGAGAAATATTGATTAAAATCAGAGGCCCCCAAAAATGTGTGTGTGTGTGTGTATGCATGTGCACTGTGGAATCCCAAGGAGCAAACTGAAGCAGAGATTAATTAACAGCCATTTAAAATTTTTTCAGAAGAGGGGCACAGTTGTGCATGTCTGTAATCCCAGCTACCTAAGAAGATCCCTTGAGCCCAGGAGTTCAAGACCAGCCTGGGCAATAAATGGAGCAAGACTCCCGCCTCAAAACAAACAAACAAATAACAAAAAGAAAACCCACAAAAATTTATTAGCTGTTTTAACTATACGCAACATACTCTCTTTAGTTTTATTATTCTCAGATCTGCTAGTTAGTTCTCATAATTAGTTGGTTTTTTTTAATCATAGGTAATTAGACTGGAGTTGGCCAAAATCCGTGAGCTCATTTGGAAAACAGGACTGCAGCTTACACAGTTTCTTTTCAACACAGAGTCTTCTTCAACATCTTTATCCTCATTTTGAATGCCAACTTCTTTATCACCTGTCTCTTCTTACTATGATGTGCGTGCACAGATTTTCACTTCACTTTATTTAGCCTGTGGCGCTTGGTCTCCTTGGATGTTCCGACAGTTCTTGCCACTGCAATCTTGCTGAGTAAAGCAAGGTTTTCCCCAAACTCATAATAATTTTTATTCACTTTCTCTGTTCACAGACAGCTCTTACTGTCTCAGTAATTTTTTCCAATGCCCCCAGGCCAAAAGAAATGCCGAACAATTTCTTTTATTAAGTACTCAGGTTCAAACAACTTAATAAGGATTTATGTCCAACAACTTCGTAGCCACTTCAAAAAATATTGTACATGTAATTGAAAGAAAAGTTACATTTTCATGTCATTCCTTTTTTTTTTTTTTTTTTTTTTAAGGGCAGCCTCCCAAGCCAGAGTAGGCTCAGAGAGACTCCCTAATTTCATTCTTGCCACAGTTAACTAGTTAACTTACTGGTGGGATGTGTGTATCCTGGACAGTGTACAATTTCTTAAGTTTGGAAACAGATTGGACATCTCAACCCTAATTTCATATTCCCTGTTGATTCATGGGTACTTTTTATCATGCTGAAAGAGATGACATCATTGACAGAAATGTAATCTCTTGCTGAAATAGTGAACTACTGGGTAGTTTGCATAGTGTTCCACAGATGCCAAGCATCCCTATGTTACTCTCAAAATGTAAAATATTCTTCAGTGCCCTGTGGATTCACTGCAGCCACCCAGCGCTCTTCACTGCAGTTTTGGAACCATGGCACTAAGTCCCAGAAACTTTCAGTCTCCTTTGTAAAACAGCAACAATTAATATTGGGTTGATGTTGAAGATCTTTTCACTAACCGGAAAACCTGAGGGAAAACCTGGGGAGAAACCTGGAGAGCATCAAGCTGAGGCTTTCACAAAGTTTATAAAGTAGGTGATCACATTGTTTATTTATCTTCCAGTCATTCTAAAACACTTTTTAACTATTTTTGTTGTTGTTGTTTTGTTTTGAGACAGAAAGTCTCGCTCCATCGCCCAGGCTGGAGTGCAGTGGCGCAATCTCAACTCACTGCAACCCCCACCTCCCAGGTTCAATTGATTCTCCTGCCTCAGCCTCCCAAGTAGCTGGGATTACAGGTGCGCACCACCATACCCGCCTAATTTTTGTATTTTTAGTAGAGACGGGGTTTTACCATGTTAGCCAGGCTGGTCTTGAACTCCTAACCTCAAGTGATCCACCCGCCTCGGCCTCCCAAAGTGCTGGGATTACAGGCATGAGCCACTGCGCCCGACCTTACTTTTAACTGTTTAATAGTGAAAAGGCTACTACCATGGAGAGTTCCGGGACAACATATATAAACAAGCACTGTCCTGGACACCCAGCTTATCCATGACATCTCTCATAACACTTACTTTCTAAAATCAACTTTTACTAAACAAATGATCACTATGACAATGTAGTGTCTATTATCTCACAATTTGCCAAGGGATCTCATCACATTAAATCACAAAACAATGTTTCTTGGTTGCACTCTTCCTTCTCCTCTCTCTCTTACCCTGTTCCTCCATTTTCCATTAGATCCTGCTTGGACCTTTGCTACCCATCCCCAGCCCAGACTAAATCCCATCGAAACTTATCTGCCACTTTCCTAGTCACCCAGGATTTGATTTCCTGGGTGACAATGCATGAAGTGGCTGGTTTGCAGGTGTGACTAGAAGACAAGAAAGCTAGACATTAACACCATGTCCCAGTCCGTACATGTGTTATCCCATCACTCTCTAACATATATTTTGAGACTTCCTAGATTTGATTTTAACCCAAAGACACAACTTTTGTAAAATTTAAGAAGCTGAGCTATCTCATGATTCAATCCAGTAAGGAGTAGCCAGCCGGTAGCCCAAGAGTCGTTGAAAATAATTTGTCGTGCCTGCAGTGTTTTGAGGAGAATGGGAAAGGTAGCTACATTCAGAACACACAAGAAAGCCTGCTAAAGGCCTCTTTTCCCATCTCTTTTTTGATGTACAATCCTCACACGGCGGCTGCCCAAAATTTCTCCCTCTTCCACTCCAAGCTCCCCAAACCCTTCTCTGAACTCGATCCAGCCCCAAGTTCTCTTTGGTGTCTCTCTCATCCTTAGCTGCTGACTTCTGTTAAATCGGAAGCTCTTCGGTTTTTTTGAATTTAAAAGGCAGCTATGCTAACCACTATACCATCAACGCCTCGGCTCTTTTTTGGATTTGGCACAATAAAGGAACCCAGAAAGAAACTCTCTTTCTTATAAGGGAGGAGGCTTGGCGGAGAAAATAGAGATTGCAAACATTTCTAATTTTGTATTTTTTCTCTTTCGCATTTGAAGCCATCCATCCATCCATCCATCCGTCCATCCTATCTATCCTATCTATCCATCCATCCAAATTGGCTGTGAAGCTTCCACTTAAATGCAAAGCTCTAAAGAGCAGGGTAAGATCCCTGCCTTGAGAGACAATAATTTAATTGGAGACAAAAATTAAAAATGGAAAAAGTAAGATGTTTGGGAAGTAAAGAATGTCTGCCCCTGGCACGTAGTAGGTTCTTCAGAAACGTTTGTTGACTCGCGTGGGAACTAGCATTGACTGAATAATCATCGTTAGTGAGCTCACTAAGCATTTATTTGCCAGTCAGGCTCCATGCAAACAGGTGATGATGAAGGTTGACATTTCCCGGGCTGCAAACTCCTCTCCAGAGGCCAGACTAACGATTCCTGCCCCGTACATCCAATCGTATTGGGCCTACACGGCTCCTCACCTGGGGCCTGGAACTTTTCCGGGAGCAAGGAGACAAATGTGCACAGTTATAGGCGGGGGCGGATCGACGGAAGGGGCTACCAGGCCTGGGCAAGAGCTCGCGGAGGCGACTCCGCTGCTCCAGATCTCGCGGGGACCAGCCCCAGGAGAACTGAACCAGCATCCCGAGGAGCAGCCATGGGGACCCGGCCCCAGCTCCTGGGCTGTGCCGGCCGGCTGCGCGCGCCGAGAGCGATCTAAGAAGAAGTAAGGCGTGTGTTCAATGCGCCTAGTGGCAGCCGGGAAGGAGTGAGGAGGAAGAATTCCGACGACACCATTTAACAGGACAAGGAAGAAATGCTGTAAATGATCACCGGGAAAAGACAAGCATGACAATTGGACGCAAAGCGCTCAGTGATAGTTTACTCCGGAGACAACCAGAAGCGTGCCGAAATAGCTCAGTTGGGAGAGCGTTAGACTGAAGATCTAAAGGTCCCTGGTTCGATCCCGGGTTTCGGCAGCTACTTTTAAATCCTGACCTCAAGAACTCAAATTTTGTAAGACTCTCCGTCCACGATACCCTGGCCCATTCCTTCAAGTCCAAGCAAAAACTGAGACTTGAAGAGTGAACGAGGAATGAAACAGTCGTTCCCAGCCACCCCCAGGAGCAGGAATCCTGCGCACAACCGCTTCCGGGCCGTTTCCTGGCGGCGCGCGGAGAAGCTTCCGCGCCTGCGCGCCGCGGGGCCTGGGGCCGGGACCCAGAGCCACCCTGGGCGCCCAGAGACGCGAACGACCCAGGCTTCCGTGGCGAGACTGGCCAGGCGCCCCCTGGGTGGCTGGTGTGACAACCGAGGCTCCAATGGGAGGAGGTCTGGTCTGTCCACGGGGCCAGCAGAACACCTTCATCCCAAGTTCATCGCATTCCTTCTAAGTATCCGAATTTGAAGAAAAACCAAAACTGCTGGGTGGCCAGATGGCCCCCACCTGGCGTTGCCGGTGAACGGAACCCAGTGCTGGTTATTTCTGGTTAGAGGCGCATGGAGGCCCGCCCTGGGGTGGTGCCACCAGGTTACTTGCCCAGCGGTGAAGGATGGCAGCTTTACAGCTCCCCGACGCATCAGACTACAGAACGTTAGCCAGAGTCTGCGCCGGTGGTTCCCAAAGTGCGGTCCCCAGGTAGGCAGCATCAGCACCGCCTGAGAACTACTTAGAAATGCACATTCTCGGCCCTGGATAGACGGCTCTGGCGGTGGGGCCCGGCAGCGGGTGTTTAAACAAGCCACGACTCTAGACGTTCCTTTCTATTTCTAAAAGAGCCCTTGCTTTCCCAAGACTGTTGCTGTGAACCAGCTTTTTCCTTTTGCTGTCTTTTTCACACTTGAAATAGAACTTTGACACGTGCTCGAAATTACTATTTCTGAGATTTTTTGTTCTCACGTGTGGGTGGGCGTGGGTATGCAGGGGCATCAACTTCCCGGCTACCTGTGGGAGTCCACCTCAAGGCCAAACTGGTGTCGTACAGTCAAGAAAATGGAGGCCCAGAAGCCTGATGTTATCTTGTATGACTGGTGGGAACTGAGCCAAGACCCAAGGGGAGAAGTTGCAGGGATGTAGATCTAAATTTTAAAAATAAGAAATATATATTTGTGTCGTTGGAAAATAGAATAGTCAGTTTAGTGAGGTGGCAGGTTGCTGAACAGCAGATGAAGGACAATTGTGAGATGTATGCATTAGGGTCTTGCTTATTTTCTGGTTCTGCTGTTTTGAGGGGGAAGGGAAGCTCATATTTATGAAGTACTGTGTGTTCTCCCTTATTCAGTCTTTCTCTAATTGGACGTTAATTCCTAACCTCCCACTAGGAGCCAGCATTATTTGCTCTTCATAACAACCTTATGAAGTACATTTTATTATCCCCATTTGACACATAACAGCCTTTCCAGGGTTGCAAGAATTAAACATAAGCTATGTCTGTTAGGCAGCTAACATTGCTACCTCCTAAATGTTACCGTAAGTGAAAAGTTGTTGAGATATATAATTAAGAAAGGTGTGACTAAACATACAGGCACTTGTATGAGGGAAATAAAAGTTTTTATCTGGCTCACCAGAAAAGGCTCTATGGAGCAGTGGGTCCTCACCCAGAGAAGATATATATATGTATATATACATAAAATATATAGTATATATATGTACATATTGTATATATAGTATATATTATATATACTATATATATTTTATATATAGAGAGAGAGTAGTAGTAGTTGTTTTGTTTTATTTATTTATTTATTTATTTTGAGACAGAGTCTCACTCTGACGCCGAGGCTGGAGTGCAGTGGTGTTCCGGGTTCAAGGGAGTCTCCTGCCTCATCCTCCCGAGTTGCTGGAATTACAGGCACCCACCACCACACCCAGCTAATTTCTGTATTTTTAGTAGAGATGGGTTTTCGCTATGTTGGTCAGGCTGGTCTTGAACTTCTGACCTCAAGTAATCCACCTGCCTTGGCCTCCCAAAGTGCTGGAATTACAGGCATGAGCCAGAGTGCCCGGTCAAGAGTAGGGAAAGATTTAACAGGAGTGCCACCAGCTATCACATTTCTAAAGAGTAGGGAAAGGATGCAGGTTCTGGGGTGACAGTGACTTTCATTTCAGACAACCTGAGGTCTGAACACTCTGCCCAAGATAGTGTTAGTGATGGTGAATCTGTGCGGGTCTGCAGCAACCTCAATTCTTGCCTCCTCAGAAGAAAGAATTCGACTGAGGGGCATAAGGCAGAGTGAGAGATGAACGCAAGTTTTACAGCGGGAGTGAAAGTTTTTAAAAAGTTTAGAGCAGGGTCAGGCATGGTGGCTCATGCCTGTAATCCCAGCACTTTGGGAGGCCGAGGCAGGCGGATCACTTGAGGTCAGGAGTTTGAGACCAGCCTGGCCAACATGGTGAAAACCCCATCTCTACTAAAAACACAAAAACGAGCTGGGCGTGGTGGTGCAAGCCTATAATACCAGCTACTTGGGAGGCTGAGGCAGGAGAATCCATTGAACCCGGGAGGCGGAAGTTGCAGTGAGCTGAGATTATGCCACTGCATTCCAGCCTGGGCGACAGAGTCAGACTCCGTCTCTTTAAAAAAAAAAAAAAAAAAAAAAGTTTAGAAGCGGAAATGAAAGGAAGTAAAGTACACTTGGAAGAGGGCTAAGTGGGCCACTTGAGAGATCAAGAGCCCTGTTTGACCTTTGACGTAGGGTTTTATATATTGGCATTTCCAGGGTCTTGCATCTCTTCTTCCCTAATTCTTCCTTTGAGGTGGGCTGTTGCATGCACAGTGGCCTGCTAGTGCATGGGAGGGGGGCATGCAGAGTGTGTTTACTGGCGTTGTACCCATGCTCACTTGAGGCATTCTTCCTTTACCAGCTGAATGCTCCTGGAAGGTCATGTACCAGTTAAAAGCCGCCATTTTGCCTCTTAGTGCGCATGCTTCAGCCTACTCGCCCAACTCCTGAGATCTTACCAGGAAACTGCTGATGACCAGTTTCAGGTTTTTTCTGTTTGGAGCCTGCCTTTCCCTAGTGCTGGCTGCGACCAATTACCATTTTAGAGAAACAGTGTAACAACCACCTGCCCACCACCTGTTGGTCTCCTGACATTCCTTGGTGGGGAGAGGGGCTCTCCTGCCCTGCTGGTGCCTGACTAGCTCCCTGCTGAAACAGTAAGACCAGCTACTGGCTATTGGTGTGGGTGGGGGAAGGATGGAGGCGCACACCTGGTTAGTGCCAAAGATAAACTAGGCACTAGGTAACGATGGTAAGGACAGATGGTAATCATAATGTACTATTGCAATAGGGAAGAGGGTCCAGCGTGAACTGAACTCAACTTTGATTTGTACAGAGGTGACTGGGCATTTTGAAGGGACAATGAGGGATAAGGGAGAGAAACCAGTGGGACTTCAGCAGAGTCAGGAAGGTGAAAACTGACAAAGGATTGACGCATGTAAATGCTGATTAGGCAGCTGTGTTTGCTAGCTGGCAATGATCAAAGTTTGGATTCTGTCCTTCCAGAGACTGGGAGACACTGCCTCTATCCTTCCTGATGATTTCATTGTAAAGGAATGGTTTTTAGGTCCTTGATTGCCTTTGTAGGAGATACACAGCCATCTCAAAGGGACAGAGGAAGGAGTCACAATTGTAAGTCGTTTTTAGTAAGTGCTCTAAGAAAGTGCCAGGAGCCTTTCATCAGATGGTGCATAGAATTTTTCTGGCAGTCTTGGGCTTTCTCAAGCAGGCACTCTGAGGGGGTTGAGGCCTGGTCTCGAAGAGGGCTCAGAGAACCCTGGCTAGCATTTGTCAAGGAGAGAATCCCTGTCATTAGAAGCATGAGGAGGGGAGGGTGAAGTGGGGGAGTTAGGCAGGCCTCTATTTTTTGGTTGAGAAGGCTTTTCAGGACTTGTGGCAGGGAGGAGTGATCGGGAAGCAGGTGGGCAGCATTAAAAAAAATACACACACCAGTTATACATATGAAATAAAGGAAGACCACCACATGAGAAAGCAAAGGCTGTTTATTCAGAGCTTGCTATAGCAAGGGAGTCAGCCACCATCACTGGCATTTGAGAGAGACTCAAAGGCAGTCAGGGGAGTGGAAGAGCTTTACAGCAGACACAAGGGATGGCTTCAGGTGTACCCCAATTGGAGGGTGTTGGTCTGGGAAGCTGGAGTTGGCTGAGAACTGGCAGCCATGTGATTATTTAAGGAGCCTTTTGTGGTTGGTCTTAAGTTGGAAGTGAGCACAAAAATGAGGAAAGCTGTCAGTTATTGATCAATTCCTGGCCGTTTGGGATTAATTATTACAAAAGTTATTGTTTAGCTTCCCAGATTGTTATTTCCCAGACTTCTTGAAAGTCTGGCTTTAGCAGAGGGGCTTGCTGGACTGTTTATTGTAGATAAGGGGTTGGTTTCCTGGGCAGGTTATGGTCACAGTTCTGTTTTTATGTATGGTCTGACCATGACCCATTTGCATATTTGGTTTTATAATATATATTTTACCTGAAGAGCAAAAGTCTAAAAATGTAATCTGATCATTTTTATCATCTTCTGAAGTGTGATGTGCTCTAATAGATGTCAAACACTGTCACTTCCCAGGAGTGAAGGCTGGGAAAGATTGAACATCAGGTGTCTCCTGGGAACCCAACTGATGTCATGATCACACTTTATAACTTAGGAGGCTATAAAGGGTGAAAGGTGGGAGAATAGGGTCACCCCTTACTTTAGAAAAGAAATGCTTTCAGTGGGAAAGAACACCATCATCATGAAACATTTATAAGCATTAATGCTCAGCCCAGCTATTTTGTCAGCAGAAAGGTTGTGAATGTCTCCTCTTGCTTCAGGCAATTTATCGGGGTGGGAGCAGAAAGGCGTCTTTTCTCAGATTTCCTTGGAAAGCTTTTTAGAAAGAAACCTGGGACATAGGCCTTGTCTGGGGAGTTTCTAAGATGACACACAAACGTATTGCTGAGCAAATGTTTATTTCTTAATTGTTTTAGATACTATATTCATTTTAGGTCAGAACTGTGATATAGTGAAGCTGCTATAATTTTTATACATAATAAAACCAGATGAGTATTTAATAATTCATTAAGGCCTTTTGTGTAATCAATGTGTACATACATTAATGCTCATTTCATTAGTCTTGGATCATACTTATCCTCTTTTAAATGGATGGTGGTTTATAGTTTACTTTTGTTATACTATTTGTCATATCTCAGATTTATTTGATGTTGAGTCCTTGGCCAGAAATAAAACTTCTGTGTGGATTTGTTACAGATTCCAGGAATATACAGTTCCTGTACAATCATCCTTCCTATGTAATGTCACAATGGATTACATTGTTTAGCTTCCTTTTCTAATGGATTATCTTGGAGGATCGTCTGCAGTCCCTGCTTAGGCGAGGGCCCGCAGACAGCCCTGCAAATGAAGCTGGACAGTCTGAGCAAGGGAAAAGCTCTTCATCTCAGACACCAAATGCACACTTTAGCTCTGTAAATTCTAGTGTTCCTATAATGAGTTGTCTTAAAGCAGGGAGCACAAATATTTTGCTATTCACTACCTAAATATTTCCTACAGTGCATCTTGAGCAAACTCTCTTTCCCCACATAGTTCACTGACTCCCTAGTCCAAAGAATCAAAAATAATGAA